TCTTGCCTCTGGGTGCACTGGTTACTCTTCTGGGTGTGGGGCTTCCTGGGCACTGAAAGGGCACATTTACTGTTTTACATCCCTGCCTGAGGAAGAGTCTCTGTGCTTCTCACGGCCATGACTAGAGACTTCAGTCGTGGGGAGAGTCTGAGTCATTCTGCCTTCTCTTCTTTCCTAAACTTCAGGACAAGAGACAACAGAGGAGGTACCTTGGCATGTGTTTTTCCCCAAACCGCTGTACATTAGACATCTAATGAATAATTTTAAGGTGTATATTGGAACATACAAAGGGGTGGAAATCAAGAGTCCTAGGTTTTAGTCATGTCTGTCTGTATGTGGTTGTGTTACTTCTAGCAAGTCAATGAACTTTGAGTCTTAGTGTCCTCATTAACAAATGAGGAAGAAAAATATCTGTCCTCTTTGCTTCTTGAGTGGTTGTGAAAACATCTCATTACATCCCCTACCCCCGGTATTCCTGCCATGTGTGAGATCATGTGCCATTTCCAAAGTGTGTCACATATGATGGCATCAGTGGGTCTCAACCTGGTGCACAGCAGAGCCCCTGTGGAGCTTTTACAAATACTGTTCTTCTGCTAGGACATGGGAAAAATGGAACTCACAGGTGTTACTAATGGGAGTGTAAATTGGTACAACCACTTTGGAAAGCAGTTTGGCAGCATCTGTTGAAGTTAAACCAATACCTCCCTGTGATGCAGCGTTTCCATGTTTAGGTTTATACCCAAGAGAAATGTGTACACTAGTGCGTCAAGGGAAATGTACAAGGATGTATTCAGCAGTGGTATTTGTAGTTGCTCAAACTACAAACATCTCAAACGCCCGTTAACAGTAGAATAGATAATAAACTGGCCTATTATATATAATGGAATACCGAACAGTTTTAAAGTTTGCAAAACATGGCTACAACCACATGGATGAATCTCATAATTATAATGTTCAGTGAAAGGAACCTGACATAAAAGATTGCCCTCAAAACATGAGATATCATAAAATCAGGAATATCAGGAAAATCTTAAATCTCTGTGGTGTCAGAAGCCAGGACAGGAGTTTTCTTTGGAGAAGAGGGAATGAGTAGACACTACAAGGAGGGCACAAGAATGGCTTCTGGGCTGCTGGTGATGTTTGTGTGTGCGAGTGTGTTTACCACAATGATGGTTATTAGACGAATAAAAAAGACATATTTTGGATAATTCACTGAGCTGTACTTTTGCTTTGTGCACTTTTTGGGTGTATGTATTCTACTCTAATTAAAAAACAAAACTGCTGCGTAGTTCCCATCCCAGACTAATTAAATCAGAATCCCTGGCGGGGAAGCCCTGGCTTGGGCTTTTTCTGGAGCGTGCCCTGCCCTCTGCCGTGGTTGGTGCCACACCCTCCGGGAGGAAAGAACTCCAGCTCCATGTCTGTGTCGGGTGTGCCTCAGCGTGGTGGGGAGGACGGGGCGTCTGCTGGAGGGAAGGCTGGAGGGCCCCGTGGGCTGATGACTGGCAGCAAGAAGGGCTTTCAAGGACATGCCTCTGAGCAAAAGCAGCGAAGCTTCTGGAACCTGCAGAACTAGCATCACCTGGGAATGTGTTTGACATGCACCCTAGATTTGCTGAATTGGGCGCTCTGGGGGTGGGCCCAGTAATCTGCTTCAACAAACCTTTCAGGTGATTCTGATGCGTCCTGAAATTGGAGAACTGCTCTAAAGAGTAGCAGGAAACCAATTTGGCCAATTTGGCGAACACACAAGGGATCCATTCTGAGACTAGGTGTTTTGCTGGGTAAGCTTGGGTTTTGCCCTCTGCCTCCCCTATTTGTCTTGCCCCAAATCAGACCTATACCAGTAGTTCTCAACCCTGGCTTTTAAAAATGTCTCTTCTCAGATGGGTCCCAGGCATCCAGGTGCTTCTTATGTGAGTCAGGGCTGATAAACTGTTCTATATTCAGGTACTTTTGTGGTTGAGACAGATGATTGTTAACACCTGCCCCCAGATTCTTATAGTTGTTTCCTGCAAGTCCTGTGAAGCAGAACTCAGGCCTCCTGCGACGGCTTGTCCGGGTCTAAAGGTGTTTCCTGGGGGCCGGTTTGGCCTTGCATGCAGGTACCTCTGCAGACCACAGCAAGGCTACGTCGCGCACGCACACGGGCTCGGCTCCTCCAGCTCCTCTGCTACACAGCAAGCACCAGTTCTGCTGCCCCTGCCGGAGGCCGAGCCAGAGAATGTGAGTCAATCCTTTTGTTTGGTGCACAGAAAATGTCAACAAATGCTAGCTGTCCTTATTTTCATTATCTAAAGTGTATGGGTGCCTTTTCATTTAAGCTTACAAAATACCTGTTTGGAAAGACCAACTTGGTTGTTTTATCTTGAATTCTCTGGCCCCTCAACTTTCCTGCAAAGCCCAGGAAAGACCAGTCACATTCATGGGGGATGTTCTAAGTCAGTGGTTCTCAAAATGTGGTGTGTGTGTGGGTGTGTATGTGTGTGTGTGGTGGGCAGCAGGGCGAGGAGCAGCAAGAGTATCGGCTAGGGAATTTGTTAGACATGCAAACTCCTGTCACCAAAGAATTTAATAATAAAGGGGGCAGGAGGAAGCTTTTGGAGATAATGGATACGTTTATGTTACAGGTTGTGGTGATGGGTCCACGGATGTATATTTATCTCCAAATTCATCAGGCTGTGTACATTAAATATCTGTGGCTTCTCCAAATTCATCAGGCTGTGTACATTAAATATCTGTGGCTTTTGTATATCAATTATATTTCCATAAAGTGGTTTGAAAATGAAAAATGCAAACTCTTGAGCCCTACCTCAGAACTTCTGTGTCAGAGACTCCGGAGGTGCGGGCCAGCCATCTGTCTGTGGTTCTGATGCTCAGGGTTAAGAACTACTGCTGTCAGCTCTGGCGGCTCAAGACTGTTAGAAACGCAGAACCTCAGGCCCCAACCCAGCTGAATGAGTTAGAATCCCCAGGTTATTGGGATGCACATTAGAGTTTGAAAAGCGCTGCTCTAAGCTCTCTCCCTGCGTCTGCTAGGAATTAGGACACTAGAAAGGTGCATTCTTGGACCATAGCTTCCCAGTTCCCCAGAGAAATGCCATCACAGGACGATAATTTGAGTGTAAGAAACAGATGCTTTTCTGTGTCAGTGGAAAACAATTTCTACTGCCTTTTATCCCCCTCAAATATTCATCCTGTCGATTTCCTTGAGAGTGAGAGCAAGCATGTGTGTCTGTTTTTGAGAAAGAAGTTGAAGTTTGGAAACCTGTTTGTTATGTACCTAAGTTGCCCAGACACTTAGATTTTACCTCAGTTCTAAGCAGTAGTCTTAGCCTAGGTTCTCTGATACAGCTTTCCCATCTCCATCACGTGGTCTTTGTGTTTTGATTCTTGTTTTAACAATTCTCTTGTGGCTGCATTTTTTTTTAATTGTAAGTAAGCTCAGGTACTGTGTGATATGATAAGAAATAAGTGCTTGTCTGATACTTTGGAGCATCTCTGCTGATAGAAAACAGACTTCGGGAATTCAGTTAAAATCCCTTCTGCTCCATGGAGCTCTCCTGGCCGCTCTCCACCACAGCTGTAATTCATATGGCCTCAGATAACATTAGTTGTCATTATAACATACCACATGTTGCCCAATATTTTGTGAGTTAACGTTTGTAAAGTGAACACTGTAGGAACATAGTAGACCAAATTATGATGTTTACCATTACCACTATTATTGTCATTGTGTGTATGTATTTCTGTGTCATTCCAACTAGACTGTAAGCCTCTTTAGGGTGAGGAGAGGGCCTTGTTTATTGTTGGATTCCCATGTAAGCCTGGCTTATGTCACACTCACAGGAGGTTCTGACACATAACATTAAAGGGAGTATATATGCGAGTGCTTTGAAAAGGCAAACATGGTTAATTGCCATTACTGGAGCACTGGGCCTCAGCCAGTCCTCTCCAAACAGAGAAGCTGTTGTGCCAACAAGAGTGGCACATCCCTTAGCCTCAGTCCCAGAAGGCATCAGAAAAAAAAAAAAAAGGAAGTGAAGGATAAATGTCACCAAAGTTGTCAGTGAAACTCAGTTCAGAAGAAACTCTGACCAAAACCAAAATGGAACCAACTGAAAATGTTAATGGTCATTTTTAGTAAGTCACAAGAATTTGAAGAAAGGCTATTTTAATAAGTAGAACAATTTCATTTTCCATATAGCCTAGGAAATTAAGATCTAGATGGTTTCTTTTAAATAGTCTCAGGTCTACTTTGCACCTCTCTTGCAGAAAGCAGTAGGGTTCCACCTTCAATAACTTGTCAAGGAATAAAAAGAAGCAAAGGGATAATGTCTTTAAGTATTTGTTTACAAGAGAAAAAACATTGGATGTTATATGTGGAGTTATCCAACATAGTATGCTGGGGGGAAAATATTCAGGCAAGAGAAGAAAATTGTGTAAAGAATCAGGTCGGCAGGTTGTGTAGAAGTGGGTTCAGGTGAAACTAATGAAGCCTGAGATTTGTGGCCCCTGGCTTAGCCCCAGCGTCTTCTAAAGCCCGGAGAGGGACCCTAGCAATTTTGTGTTTATAATTTTGCATTAGTGTTCCTAAAATGGGCTTCAGGAATTGTGTAGGTTTCAGCTCTACAAAACTGGAACTGCGCCTGACAAAATGCCTCTCTATTTCTGTAGCTCTTTTCAGATTTACTTTTTTACACTTTTTTAGCTCTACCTGTCAGATAAGGTGATACAACAACTAAGGACTTTGATCATGAGGAAAAAGGTCCTCAGAGACCTGCTGAGTTGAGGGTGGTGGGGAGGTGTGGAGCAGTGAGGGGTGGAAAGAGATCACCACAGCTGAGATCAACGTGATGAAATGTAGATAGATCCCAGAACATTTTTCTGCAAGGATTATCATTGTCCTAGAGTAGAGACTCAACTTGGCTAAATTTTCTTCCAGTAGAGGTTTGGCAATTTCTGGAGACATTTTTGATTGTCATGGGTGGGTTGGGGTGGGGAGGGCTGCTTGCTCCTGGCATCTAGTAGGTAGAGGCTGGAGGAGGGGTCGCTTAATGGCCTACAATACACTGAACAGCCCTCTGCAACAGAGAACCCTACAGGTCAGTAGTGCTGGTGGTGACAAATCCTGTTGTAGAGATGCCTTCCACTTCTGGTCACTGACAACTCAGGTTGTCAAAATGAAATGATCAACAAACAGTATAAGGTAACTTTTTAAAAAATATTATTTTTTCATAGAAGTATAGTTGATTCACAGTGTTGTGTTAGTTTCAGATATACAGCATAGCCATTCAGCTATGCATATGTATATTCTTTTTCATATTCTTTACTAGGTTATTACAAGATACTGAATGTAGTTCTCTGTGCTATACAGTAGGACCTTGTTATTTATTTTTATATATAGTAGTTTGTATATACTAATTCCAAACTCTTGATTTATTCCTCATCCCCCCATCCTTTCCCCATTGAAAACCGTAAGTTTGTTTTCTGTGTCTGTGAGTCTCTTTCTGTTTTGTGAATGAGTTCATTTGTCTCACTGTTTTAGATTCCACATGTAAGTTATGTCATAGATACTGGTCTTTCTCTGACTTACTTTAGTTAGTATGATAATCTCTAGGTCTAGGTCTAGGTCTAGGTCATGTTGCTGCAAATGACATTATTTTATTCTTTTTTATGGCTAAGTAGTATTCTGTTGTATAAATATACCACAACTTCTTTAGCCAGTCATCTGTCAATTGACATTTAGGATACTTCCATGTCTTGCCTATTATAAATGGTGCTGTGAACATTGGGGTGCATGTATCTTTTCAAATTAGACTTTTTCTCTGGCAATATGCCTAGGAGTGGGATTGCTAGATCATATAGTAACTCTCTTTTTAGTTTTTTAAGTACTCTCCATATTGTTTTCCACAGAGGCTGCACCAAATTAAATTCCCATCAACAGTGTAGGAGGGTTCTCAGGTAACTTCTTAAAGGCACTTTTTAGTTTGGTCTCTCCCATAAACCATTGTTTGTCACGTATCTGGCTCTTCTTTCTTTAGTAACTACTCCCCCAACCCCCTCCCAACACACATGCAAAGGCTGTTAGGACAGTGGCTCAAACTAAAACAATGGTGAAAACCAGGTTCCAGCACTGATTTTCAGAAACAGGGAGTTCCTCCTATAGTAGCCTCAACACTGCAGGAGAATCAGAGGCCCTGGAGTGGTGCTTTATTGTGCAAATCCTGATCAAGAGACCAGCTTCCCTAAAACTAAAACAGAATCTGTCATTTCCCTTGACAAGGCATGGAGGCAGTGCCTGGAAACATCCACACCTTGAAAATGCTGATCCCACTCCCAGGCTGCTGAGCTCTTCTAGCTCAAGTCCCAACGATGCCAGTGGACTGCCCCAATTCCTACCCTCTGATCTCAGCTGGTCCTCACTGCCTTTTGGCCTTCCTTCTAGTCCCCTTCTAACTGTGTCTCTTATTCCCATGGCTACTCACTTCCCCCAAGGCCCCACACCATTCTCTCCCCGTTTCCCTTCTGCAGATGCCCTTGCCTCGTGCTTTCCAGAGATGAGTAACAAAGTAATCAGAGCTGGTGTCGTTCGTGTAGCAGCCACGGGCACTGGGCTGGTGCAGTACGCACGGCATGCTTCATCTGCAAGATCAGTGTCCATGACCCTGCCTTGCAGATGATGAAACCAGAGCTCAAAGGGGCCTCCAACTTCCTCCAAGTCACAGTGCAGGCATTTGATCCTAGCACTCCCCATCTCCGGGATGAACTCCTTTTACTTCTATCTTCTCCACTGAAAATATGTCTCTGTCTTGATTCCTGGGTCTGGGAAGAAGACAGGATCTTTCAACCCAAAGTTTCCTCCTCCATCTTGATCTCGATCTCCTCCTTCTCTCACTGAACTTTACTCCTTTAACTGTCCCCCTTCTCTCTCTCATGGAGCTCAGTCCCTCCTCCCTACAAATGCATTCATTCTGCCCTGCTTCACCAGGACCCTTCTGCCTCACCTGCTGCCTCCGCTTCACTGTTAACTTGTCAGTGTGGCCATCTCTTCTGCTGCCTCATGTGCTCCTTGGCCTGTCCCATCGCCTATTCCATGAGCAAAGGCTCGCTCCCTTCCCCGGCTCTGTGTGTCTTTGGCTCCCCTCTGCTCCATCCTGGATGGGCACCATGTCCACCTCCTACCCTGTTGTTTCTCAGTGCCTGGGACAGTGCCCTGAATAGCAAGGGTGAAGGTGATGACCTCACCTTCAGAACTGGGCAGAAATCAGACCAACACTTCCCAGGGGCCAGGGAGATGGCTGAAGCAGGGCTCCCAGGGAAATTCCTTTGGGCTGGAGTTATGTTCATCAGAATGACGACACACTCTTGCCATTTTTAGAGCAGTGATTACCAAATGGAAATACCCTATTTCACCAGAGACTGAGACCCAAAGTCACTAGCTTAATATCTAAATGTCATTCACCTCTTCACTGTAACTGAGGCTCTGAGAAAGAGAGACACATGACTACATGCTAGGGGATTCAATTCCTGTTTTTCCTTCCTGTTTGTCCTCTGCTAAAATAAAAAAAGAAATACCTAAAAGAAACTTATTGGTTTTGTTATCCTGATAATATAGTATTAATGCGTCTGTGGAGATAAAGTTAAATGAAACAATAAATGGTTTTTGAGCTGTTGGCATCAAATGTCATCAGGTTTTAAAAGACAAGTAAATAACAGCTAAGCACTAAATCTGTATTTGATGGCAAAGATCCTTTCTCTGGGTAATTCCATTCTTATACCCTCTCCACTAAAATGTCTATAGGAATTTCCATATGTTGGTATTAGTAAGCTTTGTCTAATTTTCATCCATCTGTCTATTGGTTCATTCATTAATTCAACAAATATTTATCAAAACTGTGTGCTCAGTCCTCAGACACAATAGATGCAGTGCCTGTCCTCAGGGAATATAGTCAAATCTGGCACTTACAATTCAATATGTTAGGTTTTGGATATGAGAAATGTGGGGTATGGTAGGAATATTTTCACATATACTCACCCCAGACTTGGGAGTGGCTGATCAGGGACAGTTTCCAGGAAAAAGTAATATCTAAGGTAAAACCTGAGTGTGTTAGGTGAAGGTGGAGGGGATGAAATTGGAGGGGTTGTCAAATGAGAGAGAGTTTTAGGGAACTGAAAATAAGTCACTCTCAGTAGATCAGAGAAGAGAAAAATGAAGAGAGATTATCATTCTCATCCTAGTTCAAACTTGGGTATATAAAGTGGCTACCATTATTATCCCCATTTTGCAGATGTGGAAACAGGCACTGAGAAATTAAAATAAATTGCCTAGGGTCACCTAGCTAGTGTGTAGCAGATCCCAACAAAACCCAGTATCTCTGACCTTAACTGACAAAACACTGCCTTTGAGATATTTTCCAAACTTCCTCCCAGCGATGATTTGGAGACTCCAGGAGAAAAAAGTAGATTGAGGCAGTGATTTTATATTTAGTATGGAGTCTGAGTGGAAGTCTTAATCAAAGAAAGCCTGCCCTCCCCTGTCTGCTCCCCTCTGTAAATCAGATTAAGGTAGAGGTATTGCTCTTCTAAGGGGAATTTTCACTTAAATGGAGGAGGGGCCAACAAGTTTTGAGCACCCTAACAAGTAGGGTGGGTGGAGGGAGACATTTTGGGGTAGAGGCCCAACCTGTACCCCCCCGGGAATGAGGAGGTAGTACATAAGGGACTACCTAGTCATACAAGTGGAGGCATCTTTTTGGCCTAGAAGAGTTAGTATGAATCACTAAACTCTTACTTTTCTTGTGGGGAATGACTTAGGTTCTTAAAAGTTGCACATTTTAGAAATTCTTTTCCCAAGAATATGAAAACGAATGTATGTATGTATATGTATGACTGAAACATTATTTTGTACATCAGAAGTTGATACATTATAACTAACTATACTAATTTTAAACGTTTTTTCCCCCTCTCCAATTATTAATGACATAAGTGAAAATTACTCAGGTTGACTCAAGGAGTAAGTTGGCTAATATATTCAGAGTTAGCTGAGTGTTCTTTAATTCAGCGACCGATGTGGAACAAACAGCTTCATATTCCTTAAGGCGGAAACCTGAAAGGGTATAATCCCATAAACTTTGCAACAAAGACTTCAAAGTGGTAAACTATGTGGACAGTACACTCAAGCTTGGAGCTTGGTGATTCGACTTTCCAAGACCAGATAATCTTACAGTTACCTACCAATTAGATTAAAATTTGAGACTATGAGAAATCTAACATATTTTTCATGACTAATTTTTCCTAGAATAAATATATTGCAGTTTGAAAAGTACGGTATATCACCCTTGAATAAAATGCTCTCTTTTCCTGTTTCATCTCAGTTGCCTATTTCCTTCTCGAGAGAGTAGACAAGGATGAGTAATATTTTTAGCTACTGAGACTGGCTTGAGTTAAAATGCCCATTCCAAGACCTCTTGTAAAAGGATGAGGACTGAGAGTTATTTTCCATGTTTATTTCCAACACTAGTGAAGTTGATGGTTTGTGAGTGTCTAGTTGGTTGGATTGGAAAAAGAGCTTTGGAGAAGCATATGGCAGTGATGCCCAATGTGAATGGGAAAATGTTGGATTAGTTAGTTGCCTGAGTAGAGAAGACGTGTGTGTTTCATACCCATGTTTATACCACTACCTAGGGAATGCAGAGTCATGTGGAAATTGGATATGGTTTATCAACCAGGCATCTCTACTTAAACCATTCCCTACCCCTCATCAAAAACTAGACAGTAATCTTCCTGGCCCTTTCCCCACTACTAAAAACTCGTTGCACTTGGCCAGATCTGATTTTGCTATTTCTCTCAGGTACATGGATAGAGAGCTTGGTTAAGAACTTCTGCTTATTGAATTATTGTATAGATAATTGATTCATCATCTTGAAAAATAACACTTTTTTTTCCCCCACTGGGACATAGGCTGTCCCTGCCCTTCAGATACATACTGTAATCAGAAACACAGTCATCACCAATGAGCCTTTAACCTTAAAGAGAAAAAACTTGTTTCTCTCTTGCCATTGGGTCTGCTTGTCACAGAAGCTAGAAAATGTATGATGTGGCACTTCTGCCTTGGGGGTCATTGAGAGAGTGATTGATTGGAGGAGGGGAAGAAGGGAAGTGAACAACTAAACAGACTCAACTCTGTCCAAGCAAATGACTAAATGA